TCCAGTGGCAGCGTGTTTTACACAACTGCATCCGATGCTTTGCATTGTACTTGGTGATGTAAGGCTTGGATGCAGCTGCTTGGCCAAGGAAACCCATTCCATGAAGCTCTTTACGCACTGTTGTTGTGCTAATCTGAAGGCCACACAAAGTTTGGAGGTCTTTAGCTATTGACTCTGCAGACAGTTGGCGACCTCTGCGCACTTTGTGCTTCAGCATGTGCTGACCCCGCTCTGTCATTTTACATGACCTACCACTTTGTGGCTGAGTTGCTGTTGTTCCCAGTTGCTTCCACTTTGTTATAACACCACTAACAGTTGACCATGGAATATTTAGTAGCAAGGAAATTTAATGGATGGACTTATTGCACAGGTGGCAACCTATCATGGTACCATGCTTTCATCCACTAAGCTCCTCAGAGCGATGATTTTTTAGATAAGAGGTCTTCTCTATTGGTTACATAGACACTGGATAGGGATGAACAGATTCTGCTGATTTTGTAGCATCCTAGGATGATCAGAAAGTTTATGGGCGCCCCTCTTACATTCACCTGACAGTTCCTACCCATAGAGCTCCTCTTATATTGAAGTTGCATATTATCATGGGAGATGTATTTGTTTCCCATAATCAGCGTTGCTCTAGGGATGGCTATTGAGCACATACACAAAGATCAAGTGTGAATGTTTATATACTGCTATGATGATTTCATTGAAGACTGGTTGCTGGTTTCAGCACGAATTACTCTGTGTTGTGAAATTACAGAGCTAAATGTCAGAAGGAGCTTTGTGCCTGCTAAGCTTTTGTTTAGGGATTCAGCCATCTGGAGAGCCAGATCAGTTTCCAGCTGATTCTGATCGGATTGAGTATGCAAAGTCTTCCATATACTACCCTTGAATTTTTGTGTGTGTTTCCACTTGTGATAATGCGTTTCTGCATCGCATTTTGCTGTGCATTTTTACACTTGCGTTTTTGCCATGTTGTTGATACGTTTTTTGCTTTTTTCTTTTTTAAATTTTTTTTCTTGTTGCTAGGCAGATTTTAAATGCAAAACGCATCAAACACGCAATACATGCTTTTCTGCAGCATTCCTATCAAGTCTATAGAACCAAAAACGCAATGTTTTGCGTTCAAAAAGTCCCCAATCCTTTCCAAAAAACTCATTGGGTGAAAACACAGAGATGAGAACCTGTCCCATAGGAAATCATGTTAAATGGACTGTATGGGTTTCTGCAAAATGCTGCAGAAAACACTTATGTGTGAACCAAGGGTGAAGAAGCAGAAGGGATACCTTTTATATGTAGAAGTGAATGAAATGGCAATGGTCAAGTAATCATTTTGGTTGGGCTTTCCCTAAACTTGGGCTGACCATATGTGGGAAGATCTTTTCTTAAAGTGGTACTAAACGGAAAAACAAAAATGTATAATATTGCAGCTTACCAATCCTTGGATGTGATGGCTGAGTTACTTTTTGGTTTTTAGGCTTTTTAACACCTACAGGGGTGCCTACAGTGATCAGCTTTTATCTATTTTTGTAAAACTGTTATCAAAAAAGGGCAAATAGAAAGTGTTTGTGTATAACTGCTTTAAAAAATGTTAGCTGGCGGTTTGCTTTAATTTGTTTATCAAGTCAATCTAAATCCAAATGGTCCAGGTCAGTGACTTAAAGTGGTTGTAAAGGCTGATGTGCACAACAGCTTCGGCTCTCCCCGGGTCTCTGCCTCCTCATTGACTGAGACAGCAAGCGAGAGCCATTGGCTCCTGCTCCTGTCAATCACAGCCAGTCAGCTAATGAGATAGAAGAGGGCAGGGCAAGGCCAGGGCTCCATGTGTAAATGGACACACGGAGCAGTGGCTTGGGAACACCCCTGCTCGGGTGCCCCCATAGCAAGCTTCTAGCTGTGGGGGCATCCAAAAGAAAGGAGGAGCCAGGAGCATGCAAGTATAACATGTTTGTTATGTTGCAAAAAAAAAAAAAAAAAGAAGAAAAAAGAAACCCTTACTATTGCTTTAAGCGTCGCAGGCCAAATATTGTCCGGTATGAACCGGTTCAATACAAACCAGCCAACATTCAGCCGGTGTGTGCATGTGCCTGTCCCTGACAGGCCAAATTGGCATACTGGAAAACTAGCATCCAGTCGGCATCCGATCAGTGCTTGCATCCAGTGCTGCTAGCGCTGACCCGTATATCCTGGCTTGGAGCAGTCCCCCTGTCAGAACACAGTAGCTCAGTGGGGGAGATCACTGTACTAACATTGGATAGTACAGCAAGCTCCTCCCCAAAGAAGTTTAGACATTGGTATCACTCATGTTTCTTTAACCACCTTAATACCAGGTACTTTCACCCCCCCTCCTGCACAGGCCAATTTTCAGCTCTCTCACACTTTGAATGATAATTATTCAGTCATGCAACACTGTACCCATGTGACATTTTTATCATGTTTTTCACACAAATAGAGCTTTCTTTTGGTGGTATTTAATCAAAACTGGCTTTTTTATTTTTTGCACTAATAAATTTAAAAAAAAAAATGAAATTTAAAAAAAAAGCATCCTTTTTTTCATTTCTATTATAAAATTTTGCCAATAAGTAATTCTTCTTCATAAATTTTGACCTTAATTTATACTACTAATTGATCAATCCTGATGGTAGTGACTTCCTATCTAATTTCTTGAGGCCCAACATGCCAGTACAAATACCCCCTAAATGACCACGTTTTTGTAAAATAGACATTCCAAGATTTTTAGTAAGAGGCATGGTGATTTTTTCTAAGATGTGATTTTTTTTTTTTTAACACATTTCTTTGTAAAATGAAGAAAATTAAGAAATTAAATTCATTTTTTTTTTTCACAAAAACATGATTTTAACAAGTTATTTCTCACACACGGCATAGGCATACTTACAACTACACCCCAAAATACATTCTGCTACTCCTGTTATGGCGATACCACATGTGTGGGACTTTTTCACAGCCTAACGACATAGAGAGGCCCAACATCCAAGGAACACCTTTAGGTATTATCCACTTTAAGACCAGGCCTTCCCCTGACACTTTTTGTGTCACACGGTATTCAATGTACTCAAACACAATTTAAGATCCAATTTTTTGATAAAATATAAAATATGGTGTTGCGCCAAGTAAATAGATACCAAACACTTCACCCTTTAAAATTGCGCAAGCTTATGAAATGGTGCCAAACTACGATATTTAAAAATCTCCATAGGCAACACTTTATAAGCCTTTACAGGTTACCAGTTTAGAGTTACAGAAAAGGTGTAGTAGAGAAGGACTGGTACTAGAATTATTGCTCTCACTCGGACGTTCATGGCAATATCTCACCTGTGTGGTGAAATTGTCGTTTACGTATGTTTATGGGACCAGTATGTGTTTTCGCCTTTGCACGCGAGCACAGGGGGACGTGGGTGCTTTAATATTTTTTTTCTATCTTTATTTTATTTTTACACTGTTTCTCAATAAAAAACATTGTTTTGGTCCATTTTTATTGCTGTCACAAGGAATGTAAACATCACTTATGACAGCAATAGGCAGTGACAGGTACTCTTTATGGAGAGATCTGGGGTCTATTGGGATCTCCTCTGCTCTAAAAGCATCTGATCACACCACCACGGGTACACCATGAAAGATGTTGATGGGACACTGGTATACTGACAAATGTTTTTGTGTACTTCTACACCATGACAGATGTTGATCGTCCACCGGTGGACACTGACAGATGTTGATGTTGCAATGGGACACTGACAGATGTTGGTGTTTCAAAGGGATACTATTGCAGACGTTGATGGGACACTGGTACACTGTGACAGATGTTGACGGGACACTGGTACAGATGAGCACTGGGATAGAGACATATGGTGCTTGGTGCACTGGTGTGAAATGGCTGCAGTGTGTGTGATCTGTATGTAGCTGAACAGTAAAATCATCAGCTACACACAGATAGCTGACAGACTGCATCATCCCCCTCTTCCCCATCCCCTTCACTGAGCTCTCACTGAGGTCAGGAGGAAAGCCTGTAAACAGAGGCACGTGACTCTGTTGACACTATGTGATGACTGTGATTGGACACAGCCATCACATGATCAGGGGGTGCCAATCAGAGAGCCCATATCCTGATCTGTGATGTACTGTGCCCAAGGGACACAGCCATCACAGAATTGCGCTGCTGCGCGGCCAGTCATTATGATAGGAAGCATGGGTAGATCCACTCAGAAAGGTGCTTGTCCCACCCGGCCATTTATGTACAGTGGCCAGGTGGGAAGTGGTTAAAGTGATTGTAAACCCTTACATATACCCAGTGAAGTGACTGGCCAGAGGTGATACACAGGGATGAAACAAATCCTCCTGCATCCATTCAAAGAGCAGAATTTACAAAGGATCTCGCAGCTCTGAAAATCAGGGGGCAGAGAGTTAAAGTTATACTCCGTGAGGAGAGCCCCTTTCACACAGGATCCGATCTGAGGCTGTCAGTCACAGGCTGTGCCCTCCCCTATCACCAATTTTCTTTTGGTGTTAGGAAAACCCATTAGAAGTGATTCATGCTGATAGCAGAGGAAGGAGGCAGCAGACAGAAATGACACTTAGTGCTCCCAATTGAGACAAGCGTACACTATAGAGGGATATGCTGTGTTCATATTTCACGTCTGAGGTTTACAACTACTTTAAGACACCTTCGTCAACATATATAAAGTTGACTGAGGATAGTCGAATTCAAGCCTGACCACTTCCTAGTGTCTAGGCCATATTTATTCTCAAGAATATAATTAAATAGGTTGCAACACACCTAAAGATTTGTTATCTCCATTGCTTTTTTCACTCCACAAAGGTTTGTACTAATGAATCATGTTTATCAGAATATGTATACCAGATGGTGCTTGGTAGTTTGATTTTAATGCATACTGTTGCCCAAAGAAATTGTTAACAAACGTAACTCTGGTTGTAAGTGGTAAATAAATTTTGTGTTTATTTTTCTAGAAATATAAATCGTAAAGATGGCTCCTGCTTTAGACTGGGGAAAGCTCATGAAAGTGGATCCAGATGTTCTTCCCAATCAAGAAAGATTAGCAGAGAAGATGTTGAAAACCTTGTCACAGGTTTGTGATCTCAGCCCGGGTGGGTGTCTGCATTCATTCATTTACAGTGAATAATAGAACCTTGAGTTCAAGGTGGATTGCACTTCAAACAGATCTGAGCCTGCAAATCATCTTTTCACTGTTTCTATATTCAAAGTGGTCATCAGATTAGTAGTTAACCATACAATTCTTTTGTTTTACAGGTGACTAGCACAGACTTAAAAGAGGAGACAAATGAAAATTTGATACAGATTTTTCGAATTACACAGTCTTTAATGAAGGTTTGTGGTTTTCTATGATTTTATGTCTTTGTGTAAAATGTTTAATCTCAAGGGTTTGTTATAAAATCGGTATAGTACTTCTAAATATGTGCAATAGTTTGATTCTGGGTTAAAGTGGTTCTAAAGCCTTAAGGTTTTTCACCCTAATGCCATCTATGCCATTGGCTCCCACTGCTGTCAAGCAAAGGCTGTGACATGGGAAGGGGGGTGGCGCTGAGCCACCTGCTCTGTGTCAATGGACGCAGACAGGGTGGCTTGGGAGCAAGCCCACATGGGTGCCCCCATGGAAAGCAGCTTTCCGTGGGGTCACCCGCTGAAGAAGAGGGCCAGAAGCGCTGGGGGGGACCCCAAAAGCGGAGGATCAGGGCTGCTCTATGCAAAAGCATTGCACAGAGCAGGTAAGTATAACGTATTTCTTATCTTAACCACTTTTCTAATTTCTGTTATAAAAAATATCCAATAAACTCAAATTTCATCATAAATGTCTTTCTTAAAAAAATCCCAATAAGTATATTGGTTTATGTGAAAGTTATAGCATCTAAAAACTATGGTATAGATCAGGGGTCTCCAAACTTTTTAAACAAAGGGCCAGTGTACTGTCTTGAAGACTAAAGAAAGGCCGCACTGTGACCATTGGGAGTAAAAAAATGTCCCAGCATCAGTTGAAGTTAACAATGCCTCATCATTGGTGTCATTGGTAGGAATAGTGTCCTATCATTGGTGTGAATTGGGAGGAATTGTGCCCCATCACTGGCATCATTGGGAGGAATTGTGCCCCATCATTGGTGTCATTGGGCCCATTGTAGGTGTCATTGAGAGGAACTGCCCCATTGTTGGTGTCATTGGGAGAAACTGTGCCTCACCATTGGTATCATTGGGAGGAATTGTGCCCCATTACTGGTGCCATTGGGAGGAGCTGTGCTCCATCATTGCTGTCACTGGTAGGAATTATGCCATTGGGAGGAACTGTGCTCCATCATTGGTGTCCTTGCAGGAACTGTGCCCCATTGTTAGAGTAATTGAGAGAAACTATGCCCCATTATTGGTGTCGTTGAATGAAATAGTGCCCCAAGGGCCAGAAAAAGCAAGCAAAGGACCACATCTGGCCCCCAGGCCGCAGTTTGGAGACCACTGGTATAGATACTGGAATTTCCTCAGCTTTTATTTTCTGAGTGATCACATTTATTGAGGTGCTTAAGTGCCAGGGCAGTACAAACACCTCCAAATGACTCCTTTTCAGAAAGTAGACACCCTAAGCTATTTGCTGAGAGGCATGCTGAGTGCATGGAAGATTTTTTATTTTTTTTACACAAAGTTGTAATGGAAAAGGTATATTGTTCACACGTGCCATGGGTATAATTTGTTTTATACCCTAAAATATATTCTGCTACTTCTTCCGAGTATGGGGATACAACATGTTTGAGACATTTTGGGAGCCTAGCCACATACAGGAGCCTAAAATCCAATGACCCCTTTGAAAGCCTGATGATGCTTAAGTTCCTCATTTCACTTCCTCACAACCTATCACAGTTTCAGAGGCTGTTAAATTTTGGGATAGTACAAACCCCAAATGACCCCTTTTTGGAAAGTAGACACACCAGACTATTTGCTGAGAGGCAAGTTGAGTCAATGGAATACTTTATTTTTACCACAAGTTTTTGGAAAATTACTTTTTTTTTTTTTTTTTACACAAAGTTGTAAATTAAATGATATACTGCTCAAACATGCCATGGGTATATGTGGAATTACACCCCAAAATACATTCTTCTACTTCTACCAAGTATGGGGATACCACATGTGTGAGACTTTTTGGGTGCCTAGCCACATACAGAGCCTGAAATCCAATGACCACTTTGAAAGCCTGAAGGTTTGAAACTTCCTCATTTCACTTCCTCACTACCTATCACAGTTTCAGAGGCCCTAAAATGCTCACCATGCTTCTTATCAAATACCTTGGGGTGTCTACTTTCCAAAAAGGAGTCATTTGGGATGGTTTCGTACTATTCTGGCATTTCAGGGCCTCCGAAACTGTGATAGGTAGTCAGGAAGTGTAATGAGGGAATAAAGCTCTTTAAAAGCATGAAGGTGCTAATTGAATTTTCGGTCCTGTACGTTGTTAGACTGCTAAAAAGTCTCTCACATGTGGTACCCCCATACTCGAGAGAAGTAGCAGAATATATTTTGGGGAGTAATTCCATATATACCCATGGTATGTGTGAGCAATATATCATTTAAGTGAGAACTTTGTGTAAAAAAAAAAAAAAAAAAAAAATTTCATTTTACAAAAACTTGTGGTAAAATATAACTTCTATTGACTCAACATGCCTCTCAGCTAATAGTTTGGGATGTCTACTTGCTAATAAGGGGTAATTTGGGTGGGGGGTTGTTACCTTGGCATTTGCATTAGAAGCTTATGCCGCACATCATTCTAACCACTTGAAAACAATGCTTTTTCTGACACTTTTTGTTCACATGAAATAAATCTGTATTTTTTGTTCGAAAATTACATTTAATTCCCAAACATATATATTTTTTTAAAGCAGACGTCCTAGAGAATAACATGGTGGGTGCTGCATTTTTTTGTGTCACACACTACTTGCGCAGCAATTTTTCAAGCTATTTTTTTTATTTTATTGCACAAAAACACACTATATTGGGCAATTATTTGGTAAAATATAAAAGATGATGTTATGCCAAGTAATTAGATAGCAAACATGACATGCTTTAAAACTTTGCACACCCTGTCCAATGGCAACAGACTACATACATTTTTTTATATCCATAGGCGCGGTTGGCCTCCTGTCCGTAAACACAGCGGTAGCGCAGATCAGTTAAATATACATGATTTTGCGCAGGGAGTCCACCCTGTAGCAGTAAAACTGCTATAGGGTGGAGTGCTACTGGTTAATTTAAAAAAAAAAAAAATAATAATGAAAGAGAGAGAAAAGCAGCGCCATCTAAGTGCAGCAATGTAAGCAAATTATTTATTTCCACAAAACTGGCAACTCACAGTAGTACTACTATTATTACTTGCCAATTTTGTGGAAATAAATTATTTGCTTATATTGCTGCACTTGGTGCTGCTTCTCTCTCTTTTATGGTTCACACAGAGTCTCTTCTAGCTCGTTTTGAATTGGCTGCCACTGAGTCAAGAATTGTTGGAATATCCCTTAACCACATTTGGACTTTACTGTGGTTAGCATACTAGCCATCACAGTATACATCTGGGTTTTTTTTCCTTCTTAGTGCACCAAATATTTCTCTTGTTTTTTGCAAATTTTAAAAAAGAAAGGTTAATATCACATTAACCTGTATGACCATTTATATCTATCTATATATTTAAAAAGGTTACATTTTTTTTTAATATAACAAACATGCTATATTTACCTGCTGTGTGCAGTGGTTTTGCACAGAGCAGCCTGGATCCTCCTCTTCCGTATTCGCCACGCCACCTCTCCTCATTGGTTGACTGGCTGTGCTTGACAGCAGCAGGAGTAAATGGCTCCCACTTGCTGTCTCAGTCAATGAGGAGGCAGAGACCTGGGACATCCGAGGCTGTTGTTCACATCGCTGGATCGCGATGAGGCTCAGGTAAGTATTGAGAGAGGCTGGGGTCACTGCTGTACACAGAAGATTTTTTACCTTCATTATTATTATTATTATTATTATTATTATACAGTGTTTATATAGTGCCAAAAGGTTTGCTCAGCACTGTACGATATAGTGGGGGACAGTACATGCGACAATACAGTAACAAAACAATATACGAGAGGTTTGAGAGCCCTGCTCTTTTTCGAGCTTACAATCTAGGAGGGAGGGGATAATGGTACAGGAGGAAGTGGCTGTGGGGGATGGAGTAGTAGGAGGAGTGGAGGAGATCGGCTGTTAGGTGAGGGTGGGGTAGGCTTCCCTGAAGAGATGGGTTTTCAGGGTGCACCTAAAGGTGAGGAGGGTAGGTGACAGTCTGAGGTGATGAGGGAGCTGGAGAGGTATTAAACAGATGAACATTGCAGCCTTCGCTCATATTAAGGTTGCAGTAGCACTGGTAGTGTCATCTGCAGGCTAATGGCTTCTTTTCTCAATGAAGCTTCCTGCTTGCATGTGATTACTATACCAAAGCTGACATAGTGAACACATAATCAGGAACCACAGATAATGCATGAAGGTAAAAAAATCTTCAGCCTTTACAACAACTTTAAGGATATACAAGGCTTTTACTTGATACACTGTTTTAGAAAACCATTTTCTGTGGGTTTTTTTTTTTTTATTATACGCTGGCAAATGCACAAAACTTTTTTTTTTTCTTTTTATTAATTTTAATAATTATTTTTTAGTTTACAAACTATTTGCAAGAAGTAAATACATTAAAAAAAAGGGCTGCCAAGTCCGAAAAATTGCAATAAAACAGACAAATATACAGAATATTGTAATAATGATAAAGCACAGTGAAAGAACAATAAAATTGAGAGACATAATTAAGACATAATACAAGGAAAAAAAACAAGATTGTCATATCATAAGCACCGTTAAGACAGAACAAAGGTATTTTAAGGTTGGAGAGTAAATCCATATCGATATAAACGCAAGTAAGCCAGCAGCGGTAAATACAAAAATAAAAAGGTTCACGGCAAGAAGAAATGTCTTTTGGAGGCCCAGGTGTCCCACTTGGTAGAAAAATTGGATATCTTATCTTGTAAGGTATAGAATAAAAAAAAAAAAAATGTAATACTGTAATGTTTTCCAACAGATTATTATTATTATACAGGATTTTTATAGCGTCAACAGTTTGTGCAGGACTTTACAATATAAGGGAGACAGTAGAATTACAATACATTTCAGTACAGAAGGAATACGAGGGCCCTGCTCGTGAAGCTTACAATCTAAAGGAAGGGGCAGGTGATACAAAAGGTGATAGCTGCAGGGGATGATCTGGTGGAGGTGATTCAAGTACAGTTCTTAGGTGGAGGTGGGGTAGGTTTCCCTGAATAAGTGAGTTTTCAAAGATCGCTTAAAGGCAGACAGGGTGGGGACTGACCGGACATACTGTGGTAGGGAGTTCCAGAGGATGGGGGATTCTCTGGAGAAGTCCTGGAGGCGAGCGTGGGAGGAGGTGATGAGGGAGCTGGAGAGGTATTAAACAGATGAACTTTGCAGCCTTCGCTCATCTTCAGGTTGCAGTAGCACTGTTAGTGTCATCTGCAGGCTAATGGCTTCTTTCCTCAATGAAGCTTCCTGCTTGCATGTGATTACTATGCCAAAGCTGATATAGTGATCACATAATCAGGAACCACTTTGATTGGTTTCAATAATCAGTGGAGACTGCTGCTGTTACTGCCAGCTGAGATAGGGAGCCACTAGCTGTGCAACGTGTTGTTGGTGGCTGTTAAAGGTAAGACATTTTTTAACATATTTTTGGTACAGGACATAGTGCTAGGGAGCGTTAATATACAGTTTGTGGACAGGAAAGGATCAATGTCCATGTTAACAGCGGTTTCAATGTCAGTGGAATGGAATCAATAGATAGTAACAATACTGTTAGTTTGCCAGCTGACCGTAGTACATCTGAGCTTCCATCAAGCATCTTTTGAGCTGGCTGAAAATAAACCAGCTCATCCGTAGCTTTATATTCATCTTTTCTGTCTAACCCTGTAACATTTAAAGTTTTTTAGCTCTGAAAAATGTCTAGAGATACATAAAATATTTATAGATGTGTATGCAAGGTTATTAATATTGCATCTGTGTTATTAGATATTAAACTATCCAAAACGTTAGTTTTTTTCTTTGGGAAGGACCTCTGTTATCGTTTTCTTTTGGTGGTGTATGTGTCCTCACTGGGTGTTTTCAAGGGCAAGAAAACACCAAATAATATTTCTTTAGTAGTGTGTGGAAAGGGTTAGAACTTCTGTCAGGTTTCTATTGCTCTCTAACGTCTTTTTATCTTGATGACAACAACATTATCCCACTTGTTTTCCTGTGTCAGGAGGTCAGGAAGTGAGTGGAAATATCCCCAGTGAGGACTTAGCAAGTGGTAAAAATAACAGAGGTTATGACTCTTTTATCTATTAAAAAGAAAAAAAAAAAGGGTAACGTTGAACTCTAATTTTGAGTGTTTATGTTTATTCTTGTTAATGGGTGTTCTTTGAACTTTCAGATGAAATCTCAGGAGGTAGATCTTGCCTTAGAAGAGGCAGAAAAAGCGGGGGAAGAGCAAGCCAAAACTGGTAAATACAGTTAGTTATATTAGAATATCTGTCATGAATTAAACATACATTGTTGTAGTTACAGTTATAAAGGAAATACAATAGCTGTAGTCGCTGTTTAGGGCTGCTCTTTTCCATAGTGTGCCCTTTTCCAGGGCTGTCTGCCACCACTTGGTTAGTGGCCACCATCTTCTTTGTCACTTCTTCCAAGTTTGTTTTCTTCCTCCTCCTTGGCTTTTGACTGTTTTATGCAACCCAACAACCTCTTATGCTGGTTGTATGTCCCATCCAATGCCTGAAGATCTTTTTTTTTTTTTTTTTTTTACGTCAGTGAGGCTTGTATGTATTCCCAGGGTCTGTGAATCTTTCAATTCCTTTTGTACATGTTAAGCCATGTTTTAAAGTGTTACTAAACCCAGGACCCTGCATTCACTATATCTGGTCTCCTACAATACACAGAACATGGAAGTGAAATTATTTTAGTAAATATAAACTGCTAAATACCTTTTTTTCATCAGCAGTTAGAGCAGTCTTGTGACTTCTATCAGTGATCAGCAGAGCACTGGTTAAAGCTTGTAAGAGGATTTTTCTTTCTGCTCTAGGAGGATGCAAAACCCCTGACTTCTGTCTGTACAGTGCTGATTGGCCCTGTGCTGATCACATGCACTCTCCGAAGAAAAAAAAAACCTCTAGCAATACACACTATATTGAGCATGTACAGAATGGATACAGTTCAGTCTGTCTTATCAGGAGATAAGACGTGGACATTTGAACAAGAGGAGGAGCAGAGAAGTCAGGATCAAACAGCCTATTTAAACAATGCAGATGGTTAAATCCTTAGGTTCCACACTGAGTATAACAAGCATGCTTTACTGCATATACAGACTGATTTTACTGTTGTGGGTTTAGTAACACTTTAAGCATCAATATAGAAATAGCAGGGGTCTGTTTCGTGTGTCCTCACATATCCAATTTATTTTAAGTGGTTGTCGGTGACAAGTTGGGCAAAGGTGGACCAACTTGGAGAGACATTTTGTTTCTAAGTTTATTTTTTCATGAATCTTTTCCAGCTTCTGGCTTCTGGCTCATTCATATCCACACCTTTTCTGCACATGCTGCATTTAAAACTTGTATTTAACATTATTCAAAGTATCCTCAAACTTACCTGTTTTGAAACTTAATATATTTTAAATTCAGCTAGCATAGATGCCTGAATTTACTTGATTTCAGGTCCTTGTAATCCCTTGTACAGTAGCATGATGCAGGGCATGACGCCACAATTCCTCTCTGACGAAATTCTTGGGGAGTGATAAATACCCTAAATCTCATGAGAAGACAGTCCAGTGCATCGGAGGAGCTTCTTCGTGTGAGATTTAGGCTGCTCTGCATTCCTTAGGCTCTTGCAGAAAGTAACGCGGTGTCACTTTGCCTCTGAACCCTCCAGGTACCTAAGGAATATGGGAATAGGGCTACATTCAGCCTGAAGGAGGAACATGGTTCACAGATCATTAGATGACTTGAAATTAGGCAGTTTTCAGCAGCAGGGGGGTTTAGAGGACTCTAGCAACACATGGATGTGTATTTTACTAGTTATTTGTTTTAATTATGAACTGGGCTGTACCTTTTTTTTTTTTTTTTTTTTTTATTACTTTTTTAATGTCTAATCAATTTCTTTTGCTTTGTTGTTGACTTAAACAGAAAACCAACTAAGGAATAAAATCAAGCAACTGGAAAATGAAATTGAGGTATATTGATAGTTCTTGCTTTCAAATATCACTGCTACATTTTTAATGTATATTTTGTCTGTATTTGTTTTTTGTACTGAAGGGCACTTCATTAGGAAAGTATCTTTTGTAATGGGATTACTCTAGTTAGCATTTATGTCATTAAAAAGGGAAGTGTGGACTTTTTTTCTTTTCCCATTTATAATTACCTAGGTGGATGCAGCATTGGTCTGATGCTGCATCTGTCCCCCACCGCCTCTAAGTGTGAGAACTCTGCAATAACATGACCACTGATCGCTGAGTTCTCACAGCCACAGTCAGTCAGCGTTGTCTGCTCTGCCCCCCCAATGCTCGCTGGAATGCTGGGCTGCTGTGGAGGGGGAGGAAGCGGCTGGCTCAGGCTCTCAGCAGCTCGCTGAGAGGCTGTGCCAGGTGCCGCTCCAGACTCTGGGGTGTATCTCGACTTTGAAGTTGGGATCTTTTCCCATCTTGGACCTGAGTGATGTCAGCCGACAGCAGGCTTCAACCTGCTGTCAGCTGAAAACAAGTCACAGGACTGCAGAACGAACTGCACTCCTGTGATCTACAGAATTACAACCAAAGGAGCTTTCGCTGTACCTCTCCTTTAATGATATAATGGATGCTAGCTACAAATGTTCATTGAGCTAGCTCTCTGTTGCACTGAACAATGACACCATATGATCACCTCACTAAAGCAAGAAGTATCATGGATTAGATTGTATTGTACACTCACTGATCACTTTATTAGGTACACCTGTTCAATTGCTTGGCAACACAAATAGCTAATCATGGCAGCAACTAATTGCATTTAGATATATATGTAGTGAAGATGACTTGCTGACGTTCAAGCCGAGCATCAGAATTTGGTAGAAGGGGCTTTAAGTGACTTTGAACGTGGCATGGTTGTTGGTGCCAGACAGGCTGGTCTAAGTATTTGAAAAACTGCTGCTCTACTGGGATGTTCACACCGCACAACCATCTCTAGGGTTTACAGAAAATGGTTCAAGAAAGAGAAAATATCCAGTGAGCCGCAGTTGTGTAAGTGAAAATGCCTTGTTGATCTCAGGAGAATGGGCAGACTGGTTTGAGATGATAGAAAGGCAACAGTAGCTCAAATAACCACTTGTTACAACCAAGGTATGCAGAATACCATCTCTGAACGCACAACACATCAAACCTTGAAGCGGATGGACTACACCAGCAGAGGACCACACCGGGTGCAACTACTGTGAGCTAAGAACAGGAAACGGAGGCTACAATTCACACAGGCTCACCAAAATTGGACAATAGAAGATTGGAAAAATGTTGCCTGGTCTGATAAGTCTCGATTTCAGCTGCGACATTCAGATGGTAGGGTCAGAATTTGGCATAAACAACATGAAAGCATGGATCCATCTTGCCTTGTACCAACGGTTCATGGATGTGCAGCCAACAAATCTGCAGCAACTGGTTAATGCTATCATGTCAATATGGACCAAAACCTCTGAGGAATGTTTCCAACACCTTGTTGAATATGTCATGAAGAATTAAGGCAGTTCTGAAGGCCAAAGGGGTCCAACCCGGTACTAGCAAAGTGTACCTAATAGAGTGGACGGTGAGTGTATATTAGCAATACATTAGAACCCACCCCTGTGCCATACTGTCTATTTGCTTTTTTGCTGAGTATTTGGAATCAGTTCCTCTAATAATCTGATTACTCTAAGCAGGGTCAATGAAAACTGCATCCACATGTTGGAAACGTGATACACAGATAAACGGCTTTGACAGATGTTTTTTTAATAATAATATATATAGTATATGCGTTCTTGTGACACATTTCTAAAAAGGACCTAAAGGTGAATACAAATATTTCATACTATTTGGATTACATCTACTTGTTGTATACTTTACAGAAATATGTATGAGATCATTCAAAAGTTCTGGGGCTCTTATTTTACTGTGATTATATACTATTTGAAAATTCTCACAAAAAAAATTATATTTGAGAAATAAAAAGCTGGTCGTCGATTCAGAGGATTGTGCATACTTCTAAAGTCCTACTGTTAAAACATTCAGGTTGATATCTGTTAATTTTCATAATATAATGAAGAGACACAGGTCACATTGTGCAGTTTTTCTTCTTGTTTCTTTTTTTTTTAATATGTATTCATACAGTGTATAGTTTTTTTTGCAGAATAATTATGGTATGGCTGTAAATACATTGTCTGACAATAACTGTGGGGACAAATAGTTATACATATTTTTATGATACGTGAACAACTCTTTATTTGCTGATTGTATTGCTGTCACTGTATGGCCATTGATTTTGGTTTTTGTATGTTTTTTTTTTTAACATGCACATGTTGTGCATTTTGTATGAAACAAAAAAATATAAAAAGCTATGACTGAAAAGAAAAAGCTGTTAATCTTGGGGATAGGTTTAGTGGGATGGCAGTCATGCACTCTTAAGATTATAGTAAACAGTGCAAGAGTGCGCATGCGTGGACGGCCAGCATGCATGGTCCGGTGCTAGCTCTGCACACCCCCGGCACTAAATAAGCCCATACACGGCACTGAGTCCCACGGACACTGGGATCTTCTCCGGTCCGGGTCAGGACCCCTGGAGTCCTGTCAGGACGGACAGCAGGGAGGGGCCATGGCGGCTCCCAGCACCCGATCCCTGTGGTGTGCAGGGGAGCCAAGATGGCACCCGGCTCTGCTCCTGCGGCCTCCACTGCATCCCTGCAGTCAGCACCTCTCCCTCAACAGGCAAAACTTTGCCCTACTACAGCTACTGGATGGGATTGAGGCACGGTGGCCTCTTCTACTGGGGTGAGTGACCCTCAACGCCCCCCCAATCGCCTCCTAGCCCTATTATACCTGATTCCCAGGCTTCGGCCTGCTCACTAGGTCAAGACTCCCCTGTCTCTTCTCCCTTAGATAATCAGATGGTAGCTATCTTTTTTAGCCAGAGCAGCGGCTTGAAACCTGACCTTGATAGCCCTGAGCACTCGCCAACACTCCCTCCGGCTCCACCACAATACTCGGGAGATGTGACCCTTATCGCTCGTTTTGCTGATTTACTGTAACGCAAATTGGATAGAGCTACTACTAGATTGGCGGCTGATCTCAAGCAAGGTTTCCAGGAATTAGGCATACACCTGGACAGTATTAAATCTAAAGTTGATGCAACAGTCCATAATGTATCCCAAAATTCCAATATGATTACCTACTTACAAGATCGGTTGGAGGAAGCTTAATCTAAAATTGATGATCTGGAGAACTGGCCAGACGCTATAATTTATCTGAGGGCTTCCTGAATCAATCAAAGAGCTCACTAGCTGTGCCCAATCCTTTATGTGATCCGCGATGCCTGACACGATGATCTTCATACAGAAATTGATCGTATACATAGAGCATTACTCCCCCCTAGACAGGGGGGCCTCCAAGGGATGTTATTGTTAAACCACATTTTTTCCGGGTCAAGGAAGCGGTCATGAAATATAGTACAGAAACTCCGGAGTTGGAACTTGCGGGACATGAAATACAAGTATTTGCGGATGTTTCTCCGACCACTATGCAGAAGCGGAGTCTTTCAAGCCATTACTTTCCCACTTAGTGCGGAGGGATATCCGTTATCGGTGGTCCTACCATTTTCGCCTACAATTTACCTATAATGGAAAGCCTTATGGGTTCTCTACATTTCATGAAGGCGAAGGACTTCTTCAACTAGGCATCGTTTCCCATAGTCCTTCATCTCATTCTCCATCAGGAACTGCCTCTTGTCCTCCGCCACTTTCACCACTGTGGTCTGCTACAACTTCCAGGAAGACAAAATTGCCTAAAAAAACTTGTTTTCTATATTTCTGTATACTGTTTTTTGCAGATTTTCAATAAAAATATTGAAATATAATGTAAACCGTGCTATTCCCCTTGCTGTCTTATGTGGTACCTGTGTATAGAGGATGTTGTAAGCTCTTTATTGCTCCCTCTCTCATGTCACAGCTCTCTAGCAATATCTTAAGAACAGCTGTAAAACCTTAGGCTGAAAATCAGACTGATGTCAGCCAATACAAAAATATAAAAGGAGAGACGAAGGAAGGGAAAATTTAAAGTAAGTAAATGGCTTTTTTACAAAGAGTTTCACCACTGCTACAGTGAAGGAAATAAGTATTTGATTCCCTGCTCATTTTGAATGTTTGCTAAAAATCGAATGGTAGGTGTATTGTAACACTGAGAGACAGAATAGCAACAACAAATTCAAAAGAAATGCATGTCTAACAAATTATGCACTGATTTGCATGTTCATGAGGGAAATAAGTATTTGATCCCCTTCACAAAACATGACTTAGTACTTGGAGACAAATCCCTTGTTGGCAATCACAGAGGTCAGATGTTTCCTGTAGTTGGCCATCAGGTTTGCACACATCTCAGGAGGGATTTTGGCCAACCCCTCTTGGCAGATCCTCTCTAAGTCATTAAGGTTTGGTGGCTGACATTTGGCAACTCAAACTTTCAGCTCCCTCCACAGATTTTCAATCGGATTAAGGTCTGGAGGCTGGCTAGGCCACTCCAGGACCTTAATGTGCTTCTTCTTGAGCCATACTTTGTTGCCTTGGCCATGTGTTTTGGGTCATTGTCATGTTGGAACATCCATCCATGACCCATTTTGAATGCCCTGGCTGAGTGAAGAAGGTTCTCACCCAAGATTTGACGGTACATTGCCCCATCCATCATCCCTTTGATGCGGTGCAGTTGTCCTGTCCCCTTAGCAGAAAACCCCCCCCAAAGCAGAATGTTTCCACCACCATGTTTGACAGTTGGGATGGTGTTCTTGGGGTCATAGGCATCATTCCTCTTCTTCCAAACACGGCGAGTTGAGTTGATGCCAAAGTGCTCGATTTTTGGTCTCATCTGACCACAAGACTTTCAACCAGTCGTCCTCTGCATCATTCAGATGTTCAGTGGCAAACTTCAGACAGGCCTGGACATGTGCTTTCTTGACCAGAGGGACCTTGCGGGCACTGCAGGATTTCAATTCTTGTCGGCGTAGTGTGTTACCAATTGTTTTCTTGATGACTGTGGTCCCAGCTACCTGGAGGTCATTGACAAGATCCTCACATGTAGTTCTGGGATGATTCCTCACTGTTTTCATGACGAGGTGAGAGCTTGCATGGTGACTGACAGTTGTTTTGTGTTTCTTCCTTTTGGGAATGATTGCACCAACTTTTGTCACCTTCTCACCAAGCTGCTTGGCGATAGTTTGGTAGCCCAGTCCAGCCTTGTGTAGGTCTACAGTCTTGTCCCTGACATCCTTGGACAGTTCTTTGGTCTTTGCTATGGTGGAGAGTTTGGAATCTGATTGTTTGATTGCTCCTGTGGACAGGTGTCTTTTATACAGGTAACAAAATTACATTAGCAGCACTCCCTTTAAGAAACTGCTTCTAATCTCAGTTTGTTACCTGTATGAAAGACACCTGGTAGCCAGAAATCCTGCTGAATGATAGGGGATCAAATACTTATTTCCCTCATGAACATGCAAATCAGTGAATAATTTGTTAGACATGCATTTCTTTTTAATTTTGTGTTGCTATTCTGTCTCTGTGTTACAATACACCTACCATTCGATTTTTAGACTGATCATTTCTTTTGTGAGTGGGCAAACATTCAAAATCAGCACGGGATCAAATACTTATTTCCTTCACTGTATGTAGGTTTTCTGTCATGAGAGGGGGAAGCAATAAAGGCCTTATGTCAGCCTGTATGTGCAGCTTCTGTTAGATGGGATAACAAGAGGAATGGTGTGATTAACTTTTATGATGAGTACCTTCTACACAACTGCAGTTTTAGTTTGCTTTCTTGAAACAGATTACAGGATTAGCCTAACCTCATCAACACTATTTACTCCCGTTTGTTTTTTTATTTGACTCTCTTGAAAAGTTGTCCTCTAAACCAACTATTTATTTCTGTCTGTAGTTGTTGTGTATGCTGTCCTGCTTTTTATCGTTTTTCACCAGTTGTTTTTGCCCCTTGTGGCTTTTATTATATGCAGATGGCACAGCTCTCCACTGGAACTAGAGATTCACGTTTTTTACGGGAAGAAATTCGTCAGCTTGAGGAACAGCTGGGGCAGAGGGAACGGGAGCTGAAAGAGATGAGAAAAGAGCTAGAAAAAGAGAAACAAGTTAACGAAAAAGTGAGTTGTATGCATAATATTTCTGGCAGTAGATCTTATGTACTGGTAAATGTAGTTGTTGCTCGGATCGTTTATCAGTTTTAGAGCTCACCCACATAAATGCAGGTTTTAATGTAGTATGGGAGTACAGCATGTGATCTGCATTTAAAGTAGTTCTAAGCTCAAAAGCTTTTTATACCTTAAGCATTCCCTGCATTAAAATAAAAAAACTTCCAATACCTGTTTACCCCCCCCATCTCTAAACATGTACTTGAGTCCGCATTGATCGAGCGTAGTCCCAACTGCAGTGCCGCACTCCTCCTGGTCTTGCAGGAGACACTGAGAGCAGCGGGAGCCATAGTGCAACTGCATAGTGTGTAGTCTATTTGTCTTTAGTAAATCAATCCCTATGTCTCATCTGCAATAAATCCTCCTTACTTTTCTCCTTGCAAGTTTCTGTAGAATTCTTAGCATGTCTCAGTGCCAGGATGGATGAATTCCCGCTCGCATGAGAGTTGTCATTCTAGCCTGTAAAGAGCCTGGAAGACCACCAAGAGACAGAATCAAAGATTCCTATCTTGTTATATGCAAAATACTTTGCATATAAACATTACCTTTATTAATTACCTTAAAACAGAGTTCTCTTAAAACTCAATATTAAAAACATATATGTGGATATTGTATACAAACAATCAAAAAGTGTAATTTGTGTTTGTGCGCACAGTTCTCCTTCGAGGTACACAGTAACACGTTTATCATTTAGGGTTTGCTCCTACTAGTGAGTTGCAATAATTGCACGGCTGCTGGTATGTACTGGAATACAAATTGACGGTATGAAAATCTCTCTGAGTGACATTTTCAATACAGTTCTGTTCATTGTATCGCCATTGCAACACATTGGTTCATGTTGCAACCCACAGCACTTAAAAATATAAAACGGCATACAGTTTTTTTTTTTTTTTTTGTACCAGTACGCACCAAAGCATTGCTGTGGTTTTAACTGACTCAATAGAAAATGAGGCATTTTGTCTTGTTCTATGCATTGGGGCTGCATGGAAATAGCCGCCTCCATAGCCTCAATGCATCTGGTGTGAATTAGCCCTAAAAAAGAAAGTGTTTTGGGCTAAACAAAACATATTTGCATGTATGCAGCTGAGTTTTATGTTATGTTTAGTATTGAAAGTATGCAATATCTCTGCCATATAGCTATTATAGTTTATTGCATTTAAGAGGGCTCTGTTTTTAAGGTAATGTTTTCATCCAAACCACCTTGAATATAGCAGGATTATTGCGATGGAGATATTTGATTGCATTGTTTTATTAAGCTATCAATAAAACCAGTATAGTTGTTTTGTTAAACCTTGCCTGTCCACTGCCCCTCCATCCAGTGAGAGCACCCTTACTGGCTACTAAAATGCTGTCGTTGGACCAGTGACAGCAGGGGGCGATGCTAGAGCAAAATTAAAATGGATGTTAAAGTAAAAGGTTTTAACCTTTAATGTATTATGTGCGTTAAGGTAAAAAACCTCCCCCTCAAAATACTCACCTGAGCCCGATCTCAATCCAGCATTGTGCACGTCTGCAGCAGCTCTTCTCCCCTCTCCCGGCTCTAATAGGCTTGGCCATTGGCTCCTGCTGCTGTCAGTCAAAACCTGTGAACAGAGGGCAGAGAGCAGGGCCAAGCCGGGCTGTGTGTCTGAATACATGCAAACAGCCTGACTTGGGATCGAGCATGCATGAGTGCCCCCATAGGAAGCAGCTTGTCTAATGCAGATAAATCTCTTTTATAATTAAGTTGGCCTTAGACAGAAATTCAATCTTAGCAATAATAACAGGTGGTGACATATCTGCCTATCCATGTTACAGTGTTGCCAGGATCTGCACTATTTATGCTGTGACAGACCTGATTTGTAACTGCAACACATTGACAATAAAGGAAATACACATTCACCCAGAAATGTTCCAAGCTGAAGAATCTTTAGTGCAATAAAAAAACATGTGACAGCTGGATATACTCATTATTGCCTTTTTGGAAAGCCCTACACATCATGAACATCAGGCTTGTAAATAATACTATAATTGGTTCAGGATTGCAATCAGTGACATTGACTTAATATCACAATTATGTTATAGACGCAGTTTGCACTGCTGTCAAAGTTATGTAAGGATGGGAACTTCTTTAGAAATGATCAAGTAATTGTTTTGTAATTTTTTGGTGATTGCTACCACATTTTTGGAAAGGTCAATTTATATATTAGGTTAAAACACCCTTGGTTCCGAAGTTTTATTAACCCATGAAGAAATGAGGAAATCCTCAAAATATACTCAGTTACAAGAGAAGTGCAATTGGTTATATATTACGAAATTATTTTCTTGATGTACTTCTGCATTGTGGAATGCATTGTCAGTTCAACTAGTGTAATTACCTAAAATCTGTCATTTTACTGGGCTGCCACATGCCTTTTCAAAGTTCAAGGCAAGGCGTATCTTCCCATGTGAAACACTTTAGCAGATCAATTGGGCTTACAGGAGGTAGAGAGCTGTAGGTTGGCAAACATTAGATATGGCACTAGTTCAAATTCTGCAAAACTTCAAGCTCAAGTGTCAGCACTCTACTGATACTATGAGACTACAGATTACAGATGTGTGCTTCACTTTCAGATATCTTTTTAAAGGTAAAACTGTTACTGTATATTTATTTCAGCTGTTTGGCTGGTCCTTATGCTGTTTTCGGAGTAGGGTATAGCAGAATAGACAGTGATTTTTTTTTTTGTATGTAAACCAAGTGACTGGGTGGCTAATTTGCTGGAAAACAAATAAAAGGATGCCCACAGCTGTTAAGATGCTTTTTTTTATGAGTTACATTAAAGTGATTGTAAACCGCAGTAATGAAATATGAAAAAAGCATATCCCTCATCATTGTGTACTTGTCTCAATTCAGAGAACTAAGTGTCATTTCTGTCTGCTGATTCATTCTTTTGCTATGCGTATGAATCACCTCTAACAAGTTTTCCTGACATCAAAAGGGGGCGGGGAGTTGAAATAGCACTGTGCAGAGCTCAAAATGGTGATGGGGAGGGAGCTCCTGCACACAGCCTGTGATTGACATCCTCAGCTCTGTTCCTGTGTGCTGTGTGGAGGGGGGGGTGTTTCTTCACTCCAATCAGCTCTCCCTGAGCTTTGCAGAGTGTACTTTCAGCTCCTCGCCCCCTTTTTTTTTTTCTGATATTCAAACAAACTTTATAAATTCTGGATTTTGAATGGATGTAGAGAAGAGAAGACTGCAGTAAACAGGTACAACTTCTGTAGGAGGATCTGTTTTTTTCATCTCTGTATATTACTTGAGGCCAGTCCCTTCACTGGGTATATGTAACGGTTTAAAATCACTTTAAGAGATTTTATAACTGCAAGCGCTGGAAGAAAAATAATTTCCCATACTAACCAGATACTGTTTCTATGTATTCATAAACATTTCATCTTATTTTTTCTTCTTTTTCATTGTTACTGTATGTTTATGTACATATTTTCAGCTTGCTCTCCGAAATGAAGAAACTGATAATGAAAACAGCAAGTTAAGAAGAGAGGTTGGTACCTGCTAACATTGAATATCATTTGACATTTTTTTTTTATAGCACAGGGTAATATAAGCTAACGTTATGCAGAGGGCTGGAATGAAGAAGTAATGATATACCAAGCCTTTTTGTTATGTTAAAAAGTCAATTCTTATTTTTAATTTACGAATTGCCTTGTATTACTACAGGTAGGGTGATTTAATTATAGAACAATCAGTTGACAAAAAGCTGAAATTGGCATCCACTATGCTTTGAGTATCCAGCAAAATGTCCTAAATGTATTTGTGACGAAGAATGTTAGAAACTGCAGTATCTGTAGAATGCTGTGTTTATACACACTGAAAGCATTCTACAGATACCACATTTGCCACTAGTACAGTGGTTCTTCTAAAGCTGATTTGAATGCAAGGGAAAAATGTATTAATCAATTCCATTTACAAATTTACTTCTCTGCCCGTTAAGTCACTGTGAAATTTATTAGGATGTTAATAATAGTGTTTTAAATTAAGGAACCACTATTTGACCATTAGTTTAGGCTTAAACCTTTTTTTTTGTAAACTATTGCATTTAATTGTTTTTCCTTTTTTTCCTCTTTATCTATTTGTATTCCTTTCTTACTTTAACTATATATATATGTTTACTTTCCTCATTACTACTTTCACATTACTTAATTTCTGGAGAAAAAACTACTTAAGAAGAAGGTGAGGTATTAGGCAGTTGTGTCAAGTGGTACCACTAGGCCTGGTAACAAATTAGATTAGCAATAAATTGTTTATTTGACAATGACCCATAAATTCTGGTAAACAGAATGAACAGCTACGACAAGATGTTATAGACTGCCAGAGACAGATTGACTCCCAGAGGGAATCTCTTATGTCCCGTGGAGAGGGGCAAGACTACAAAACTCTCATCTCAAAGAAGAACATGGAACTGGTACAATACCTTGATGAGATCCAGGTGAGCTAACCTTAATCTTCTGCTACCAGATTGACTTTCACTTTCCTCTACATCAAGAATTGTGCTAACATGTTAGAGCAGCTTTTCTCAACCTTTTCAACAGAGGAACCCTTGAAATAACTTTCTGGTCTCAGGGAATTCTCTGCTAAAAAGGACTATATCTACATATCATGATACATTAGTGTGATGGTCAGTGGGAGGAATGCTCCTTAAACTTGTGATCATTGGGAAGATGTACCCCCTAAGAGATGGCTAAAGAGATCAGTGGGAACTTGCTCTATGCTTAAGGAACCCCTAGCAACCCCTGTAGAAACCCTAACGTTCCTTGGAACCCTGGTTGAGAAACCCTGTGTTAGACCATTCAGTGGATCAGATTGTTATCTAATTGTGTTATTTGAATAGCACTTGTCTTTCACACATCAGAGCTTGACAGAGGCCAATGAAAGACTGGAAAGCCAAAACCAAGAAATGACAAAGCACCTGGAAGAATCTGTACATGAAATGGAGAAAATGACTGATGAATACAGCAAAATGAAACTCATGGTACAACATACTGACAGTGTTATGGACCAACTGAGGAAAGAGAAGGAGCAATACAAGCTCCAGGTTAGTCACAATACATGTTTTCATAAGTAAAAATTTACTGATTAGTACCTGGCTTATCACTGGTATTTTACAGTTCTCCATCCAATCATTGGGTTCATATAATCTTGTTGCTAGCAGTGATCTACTGTAAAACTAAAATATCAGGTAAATAAATAATGTGCAATTCATAAAAGTGAAAACCAAAATTGTGCTATGAATTCCATGTATGAGTCCACCTTATAACTTTGAATAAGTCCCTCTATTCTGATAAACCACCATGTAATTGTGGTTTTGTAATTAACGAAAACCTTACGCCAGTGACAACACGTACTCCAAACAGATCAACCCCCAATCCAGTGACACTCACCAGATGTTATGGCTTATCTCACATTGATAAGCAACAGCTCTTGTGGTTAATATCACTCAGGATTAAGATTCTTCTTCCATAATAGTTGTGCCCATCAGCAATCAAATGCTCATATGATGGTAGGAAATCCTCTATAAAGATCACTCCGCCACAGGAAAGGAAATAAGGAAAAGCCAATAGTGTGATACCGCTAAAACATTTATTATAAAACCAGTAATATACTCACAAAATAATAGTTAATGCATGCCCAACAGCATTATTCCCGCAAACGGTGTGTTGTATTGCATTAGCAGTATCTCATTTGACCTTCCTTGCTGACCGCGAGTGGAAAGTCACTTCTGGCAGATGCCGGTTGTAAACAATTGTCGTGCTGCCCGACTCTGACACGTGTCGTCATCTGACTTTATCAGTTATGGTCGGGCCGCACACCGATTGTTTACAACCAGCATCCACCTCACATCCCGCGCCGGAAGTGACGTTCCACTCATGGTCAGCGAGGAAGGTTGGGTGAGATGCTGCTACTGCGATACACCATATGTGGGAGTATTGATGTTGGGAATGCATTAACTATTATTTTGTGAGTATATTACTGGTTTTATAATAAATGATTTTTAGCGGTATCACGCTATTGGCTTTCCCTTATTTCCTTTCCTGTGCAGATTGATCTTTATAAATTATTTCCTATCATCATATGAGCATTTGATTGCTGATGGGCACAGCTGTTATGGCGAAAGAATCTTAATCGTGAGTAATATTCACCACCAGAGCTGTTGCTTGTCAATGTAAAATAAGCCATAGCATCTGGTGAGTGTCACTGGATTGGGAGTTGATCTGTTTGGAGCACGTGTAGTCAATGGAGTGGAGCTTTCGTTAATTATTGACACTTGTGGAATCCTCGTTCAATCACATGGTGGTTTAGCAGAATAGAAGGTTGTATGGTGGACTCATACATGAATTCACAGCACGTTTTTGTTTTTCTTTTATTGGACATTTTTTATTTATTTGAATTATTTATTAATATATGTTACAGCACTAGAGCACTCTATTTGTATTTTGCGCTGCTCATATTGGGTGTATTAATGATTTAGGCTGTGTGAATGTCATATACGATTTAAAGCAGCAACATTTTTTGAAGTTGAACACACATGGGATATGGGTTGGTAAAACTATAAGTTGGGTGATATTAATTTAATTTATTCATGTATGTAATAGTATAGTTTGCGCTGTAATTTAAGGAAACACAAAATGTCAGGCAGTTGACTTGTTGCAGCTTTTATTTTTTGCATGTGTAGGGGCAATTGTATGGTCATGTTTGGTTATGATTGGGTGAATTATTTTTAGTGCGTGTGTGTGTGTGTATATATATATATATATATATATATATATATATATATATATATACTCATTATACTATATATACTTAATCCTGCAGGTTCAAGAACTCACAGAACAACTGAGGGCAAAGAACGATGAAGATGATCCAGTTATGATAGCAGTTAATACAAAAGTAGAAGAATGGAAGGCAAGATAACTGTCAATTTGGAGAACAATATAACCAAGTATATTTTGCTATCATAATATTAACAAAATCTTTCCTTTAGAGAATATTGGCTTCTAAAGATGAAGAAATTATGGCATGTCAACAAATGGTTCACAACTTGAGAGAAAAATTGAAGGTTGCTCAGTTGGATGCAGACAAAAGCAGCGTTCTTGCTCTCCAACAGGTACCTTTTACAAAGACACAAACTGGCTAGGAAAATAAACAAAAAATATTTACATACTTGTTTTTTTCCTTCTTCATTATATTATTTTTCTATATTTTAGGGTGTGCAGGAGCGGGATAACCACATTAAGATGCTTACTGATCAGTTGGAGCAGTATACAAAGGAGATGGAATCTCATTCCCTACACATTGAAAATTTAAAGCAGCAATTAAAGAGAAATAAAGGTAAGTTTTAAAATATATTTATCTTTCATACCTTTCATATTCATTATTCAGACTTGGAGACTGCATTCTACCCTAGCTTGTTTGCTATTCCCTTTTGCCAGGGTTATCATTTTAGGGTTTTCACAAGGCTTTGACAACAAAACCTGTGCTTATGGCTAGCCATGGCAAGAACAGCTGCATTTTTGGATGGCACTGTTCAAATAACTCTGGTAAAATTTGAATTGATTTACATTATATGTATGGGATACCTAAATTATAAGCACACCTTCTAAAATGCACAAAGATTTAGCTGTTCAACACTCCCAATGATCTTTTGCCACCTGGTACATCACAGAGTATAATTGTGGCGTTTTTTTCTCTATCACAGGACATCTTCATATCCATTGCAATAGGGTTATGTTGCCACCATCCGGTAATTGGACTCTGGCAAAGAAAAGATAACAATTTCCTTCCATGCCTAAGCCCTCCCAACTAGACGCAGCCTTAGTTTTTTTTTTTTGCTAATGTCTTAGGTGGTGTCAGTCTCTGCATAGCTAGGTATTTTTTTTTTTTCAAGCTAGGTTTTCTCTAGCATTCTTGTTGTGAACAGAAGACTGGCTCTATCTGGATCTGTTACCTACAGCCCTAGGGCCAAGAGTAATAGAGCCAGGACCTCATGATAGATGTACAGTATGTAGATGGCCTATAATTTTGCGATTCAGGACTGGACGCTTCGTAAAAGGACCTTGTGCAATTTTCTGTTGGTAGACTGGAAGGATGGTATATAGGTCCAGGGGGGAATGGGTGGGTGGTTATTCAACAGCTTTCTCATTTGGTCTTTTTATCTGTGCGCAGGATCCTTGGAGCTTAGTGGAGCTGCCTTGTAAGAAGCCATTTGAATGCCTACCTTTTCCAGGGGAAAGTTTGTTTGGCCCTGCCTTAGATAATTACATCCAAAATCCAACTGTGGGGAAGAATACCTTGTTACTGCTCAAAAGTAAAGCTAAGTAGTTAATGCAGAAGCTTACTCCTCCTACTTTCAAGAAGCATTTATTTTGTTTGTCCAAAGCCTCTGGCTCTAAGTCTAAGCCAAACAACCAATTCCTCAAGAAGCTGTAGACTTCAAAACCCACTAAGGCAGGGGGAAAGTCCCTCCATTAAAGGTACCCTTACTCGCTGAGTTGGGGGGGGGCATTGCTAGCATTTATAGATGTTTGGACTAGGGAGATTGCGGACAAATGGGTCTGAAGTATGGAGACTGGAGGCTATAAGCTGGAATTCCTAAGCCTTCATCTTCCATGCTTCATGCTCGCAGATGTTTCCTTCAATCCACAAAAACAGCAATCTTTTATTCAGGCTGCTCGCACAGAGAGTGATTGCTCCAGTCCTGGAGAGAGAAAAAGGTTTGTGCTTTATATTCAAACCTCTTCATGGTGCCCAAGCCAAATGGTGATGTTCGTCCAGTCCTGAAACTCAAAGGCCTCAGCAGGTTTCTTTGTGTGCAAAAGTTCAGAATAAAATCTGTTTGGATGGTGCTCACCTTCCTACAGCAGGGGAATTTTTTGATGTCAGTGGACAGAACAGATTTCTATACATGCCAATTTACAAATCACAACAGTTTCTCTCCAGTTTGCAGTGGAGGAAAAACATTTTCAGATTGTATCTCTGTTGTTTGGCCTTCCACTCCCCCCAGGGTATTCACAAAAGTGTTGTCTTAGGTCTCTTGTGTTCCCAAGGTATTCCCATTGTGGGTTACCTGGATAACCGACTCCTGAAGCAATCTGCTTCTGGAGTTCAATGTGTATTTGACAGCGAACAGGTTTGGTTTGATGCTCAACTTCCAAAAGTTGGTTCTGGTCACAAATCAACAGCTGAAATATCTTGGACCTTATCTTGGACACAGATCAAACAAAAGTAATCCTACATCAGTAAATGTGCTGGACGCTGTGAGGTCAGGTTGAGTCGCTTCAGGCTTTGCACAAACCGTCAACACGCTTCTGCATGAGGGTTCCTTGGGAAAATGGTAACTTCCTTTTGAGGCCATTGGTTTGTAGAACAGCAAGGTCTCCCGGTGCAAATCCATTCAGATTATGCTGCAACAGTGGAAACGGATCTGATTTTAGTTTGAGTCGTAAGTCACATTCCAGCACTGTACACATTCCCAACATGGAAAATTGCCAGGTGGATTTTCTCAGCAGACAACATTCAAATCCGGGGGAGTGGGCCTTTCACCCAGAAATGTTGATGAACGCTGGATGTGTACCTACTAGTGTCCAGGTGGAACGCAAAACTGGACCAATTTGTGTCCAGGACCAAGGGCGCTTGAGCATTCATGACGGATATACTGGTGGTGTCTTGAGACCAGTTTTCCTCCAATTTATGCCTACCCTCTTCTGCAGCTTCTGCCCTGGCTGCTTAGTAGTCTATGGTTAGGAGGGAGTCTGGTGATATTGGCCCAGGAGAAAATGGTACTCCTACATTGAACTTGGCAGTGGATCAACCCTGGACTCCTCTGGATCGACCTGACCTCTGTCACAGGGTCTGATATTTCATCCTGCTTTATGAACTCACTGGCTTTAAAGGCTTGGCGATTAAAGCCAAGTTTTGAGAGACAGTGTTGGCTCTGATTCAGTTCCCTACACT